GGCACATTCTAAGTTGAACACTTCATCAGAGCAGGAAGAGTGAGTCCTGCGCTAGCACGCACCAAGGAATGCTTAGAACTTAGGCGCATTCTCCAACACGACCGATAATTCTGCGCTGATGTACACGGTCTATATCTGTTGGCGATATCATGACAATCCACCGTGTGGTGCGATACGAGACTTATATCGCCTAGCCGTATTGCAGACATGGTGATCATCTAATAGCCACTGACATTGGTCTCCACTGCTGGTGCACTAAACGCCGATTCGGAAATGGCTTGAGGCGAAACGCTTAAAAATTACGCTGACCATGTCGATAACGATATCCATATTTTTTGGACATTCGAATAAAAGAGGGCCGTACTTTAGTGGCCTCCAGGCTGCAGTCGCTGGAAATACATACCGAAGCGATGAAGAGGCAGCTGCCTTCCTCTTTTACTGTTTGCCCTATGCAACCTCAGCAAGTGATGAGCTCATCAGCCCTTGGTTTTTTTGAGTACCATCTCTTGAGGACGGACCCATAAACTATCGTTTATATAAGCTGACGCGAATATTTTCCACCTGTAGTGTGGATCGTCGTTAGCCGAACCAAGGACTACAACTTTTTATGTGGTGGACAAGCTGGACGATTGGACTGAGTTATAAGACTCCCCACTGCCTTCGATTCCACCACTACTTTGCGCCGCAGATGATGCTGCCCCTGTTGTTTTACTGTGCTAACGAATCACCCATCCGCGCCTGTTTCACTGTATTTTTGCTGGACCTAATGCAGTTGTGCGAACCTAAAGTGAATAAACCGGAATTATTATCATTTGCCTCGAATATTCGTCCTTTCACCGTTCAGTTTGTCACTTGGACTATTTCGTCAACGGTGAAATTTATCCCTTCATCGTTTGGTTTGTTATCGAGCGCCCATGACTGACTAGACGGTCACAACGGGACTGGACCTTAACGTGGTGCGATGGTTTGCATATCTCTTTAACTTATTGAGCTATAATGGGTGGCGCCTCGGACCCCTTGAGAGCTACTCCTACCAAGTTTGTCAATGGTGAGAGGTCAGACAAACTCAGTTTCCTGGTCCTCCAAATTGGGGGTTTGAAATGGGATGGCGTCCATTTCTGTAAAACTAAATCATTGCCACCTCCCCGCTGCCTTGCGGACAGATTTTCGAACCAAAGACTTTGGTTGAGGACCCTAATCGTCCTGTACTCTAGGTCTGGGCGCCCTGGCAGTATCTCAGCCCACACACAGCGATGGCAATTTCCTCAAACGTAAACTACATCCTGCATTTGCCGTCGCGCAGCTCATCAAGGGTCGGTTTATTTTCTGCATACAACATGGCGGATAAGCGAAAACATGATACTGCTGGTGCCTCTCTTCTTTCTTTTCCATCTGTTTCTTACTCTCCATTCTAACCCCCACTACTATAGTTCCCAGCCTAATTAACATCAGCCGTAATGCCACCGGAGTCGAACCATCTGCAGCTACCTTCCCGCACCACCCACTGGACGCCTATTGGCAACAGTCTAATTTCCCTGGTGGCGTTTAACGTTCGCAATCTAAGACAGATAGGTCAACAGGCTGCACTTGCACGCGCGTTAGATACACTGGATATTGACGTGTGTTACGTATCCGAAACCAGGAGCAATTACCACCACGGGCTCGTTCAATTAACTGCGCCCGTCTTGTCATCTCGCTGTTGGTTGCACGCATACGAAGACACCTATGCACCAGCCTCTGGTCAACCTGGGATAGGTATCGTGCTCAGCCCCAAGGCTGAGTCATTTTTGGTTGATTGGATTCCGATGAACGGCCGTTTGTGTGCAGCCCGTTTGATGACATCAACCAAGGTTTATTCACGAAGTAGTACAAAACGTTGTTTGTTTGTGGTTTCCGCTTATGTTTCCACCGACTGCAGTTCTGATGCTGCGAAGGACACATTCTACCATGAACTGAACACTCTACCACGAAGTGCTATCAGTTCCGATATCATAATACTTGCGGGGGATAGGAATGTACAATTAGGTCGTCTGGGCACTTCAAAAGCGCAGCTATGTGGTAACTATGGGCTAAACTCCGACCGTACGGACAACGACGAGTGTCTTTTGCAATCGTGTGAAGAGCGCCAGTTGTTTCTTAGTAGCAATGCTTTCAGACAGTGGGCGCCGAAGTGCTGCTTGGCGTCTTCCTGTAGATGGCTAGCGATGGACCCGATTGTCATAAGTTACAGTGGCGTGGTTTTATTTAGGATTGGCGCTCGTTCTAGTGTACTTGCGTCGATTCTGCTCATGCTTTGGTACGCTGTTGCTTTTTCATGAACTTTACTAGGAGGCGCACCAAGCCTCTCCTCCGATTGGTGTTGTTTCCGCTGACAATACGGATAACCGACGCAGCCACTCTGGTCATGATCCAGGCACTTTCCAAATCAGAAGACAAAGGCCCCTGGCGGAACTCGTATGGAGCACTCAGAAGACAGAATGTACAGCCAAAATATTGGGTCGAAATAAATAGTTCATGAGAGAAAAGACCTAGCTGAAATTTCCTGACTATAGCAACTACTAGATGCTCGGTTGTTGGCTGAGCAAGTAGTGTGCTTACGGGAGGACTACAAGGTAGGTCATTCTGATTGATCCACCTCAAGCCAAAACGATGCTATTGGCTTACTCCCATTGGTTAGCCAATCAGCTACAGACGGCACGCAACCAATCTTCTCCGGGCTACTCCATACATAGAGAGGGAGAGAGTTTCGATGGCTGCCATGGACGGGCTCCGGTAACAGTTGGCAGCTGAGAAATCAACCCAGCCCTCGGTCAGGCAAGCCTACCAAGCTGCATTGCTTAGCGAACTTTCGTCCTCTTGTCCTACTGACGCTGAGCTTCAGTGGAATAGAATCTCGTTCTCCATGCACGACGCAGGAGCATTTGCTTGTGGTACTATCAGTCGTCACCGCGCCAGTCACTGGATATCCAAGGTCGATGAACCTGTTGGAATCCAGAAGAAACCTCCAGACTGGCTTTGAGCATAATGTGACCAGACGGACTATTAGACGCGAACTAAAGCAGAGCCTGCACGCTGACAAGGAAGCCTGGTGGACCAGTCAGGCTCAAGAAATGGAGGACGCGGCGGCTGATCCGCACCACTGGTCCAAGGTAGCCAGGCATCAGTGAGACAATCAAAGACAGTGCGGATGCTCTGATACACAGTAAAGAGCGCCGTATGACTCACTGGGCGGAACACTTTCAAGACCGGTTCAGTTGTCCCTCTGCTGCTGGACGTCTTCCTACTCGGGTGATGCAGGATGAGCCATGGCCGGTTAGTTTGGAGGCTCTGTTTGAGTCTGAGGTCCGAAACAGATTCACAACTCTCAATCGTTTTGGTGCGGCTGGCCCGGTGAGGTCCTCTGCAAAGCACTGACCTCCTAGTTCGAGCATGTATGGAAGGAGGAAGCCTTTCCGGCTAACTGGAGTGAATTGATCATAGTGGCAATATACAAGAAGGGTAATCGCACTGACTGTGCTGACCACAAGAGTATTAGTTTAACGCCGGTGGTAACAAAATTACTGGCCCCAATTCTCGTTCGTCGTCTCATCGGGACGGGAATCCCGGATTGAGGAAGAGCAGACAGATTTTCGTCCAGGACGTGGTTGTATAAATCACATATTCACTCTGCTTTAGGTGCTAGAGCAGCGCAACGCATACCACAGGCCGACAATAGCTGCGTTCCTCGATTTTGAGAGTGAGTTCGATTCACTTGATCAATGCATTCTGTTCGAACTCTGTACTCGAACACGACAGACCGCGTGAGGGTCTATGGTGACCTGTCGGACAATTTTCCGACAACAAATGACGTTCGTCAGGGTTGTCCAATTTCCCCATTTTTGTACAATTTCGTCGTGGATTCTATCATGGTGTGTTTTCATACGATATCTCACGATATAGATGTTGAAGTGCTGCATGGTGACAGGCTATTTGATCTTGATTATGCGGACGATCTCGTCTTACTGTTTAACGATGTTAGGGCGGTACAGTCAACCCTTAATAACCTGTGTAGTGGTTCCATTACTTGGTATGCGTTTTGCACCTTCAAAGTGCAGTGTTGTTGCAGGACCACCAGACACTTGATGATCCCTTGATCCCAGGTAGCGGGGAACTCGAGGTAGTTGACCAATTCACTTACCTTGGCAACTGTAACAGCAACTATGAGTGTATAACCCCTGAGGTCAGTTCACGTATTGCAAAATCCAGAATTATCTTTTTGAATCTGCAACATCTTTATTGACAGAAAGGGGTTTCTTTCCATTGGTAAGACCGTGTTTACAGGGCCACAGTGTGACTTGGTTCCTTCGATCTGAGGCGCCATCAAATCTTTGATCATCGCTGCCTGCGGTGTATTGCTAGTGTCGGGTGGCATCAGTATGTCCGCAACGATGATGTGCGTAAGCGAGTCCTAGGCAATGATACCCAAGCTAGTTCCTTAGAACAACATATAGCACTGAATAAGTTGCGCTGGCTAGGGCATTTATTGCCTATTGCCCATGCCCGGTCACCGCTTAGCGAGGAGGGTCCTGTTTAGTCTGCCATATGTAAAGTGGCACAAGGTTCGAGGTTGACAGAAGTTGACTTGGCAGTGGGAAATGAAGTCACTGACGACGACACTTGGCGCCGTCGGTCCGTCTCGCCTTCGAGGCTGGTGTCCACGTGGCTCGAGACTTTACAGGACATGGCTCGCAGTCGCAGTGGCGCGTCTGCTGCCGTCTCCTAGTCGGACTGCCTGATTAACGTGTGTTTGGTGCTGAGTTATCTGCGGGGTAATGGCTGATTATGACCAATGGCAATGAAAGTCGCAAGGAAGCTGTTTTGCTGATGCCGCCTTATCTTTGCACGATAGCCAGCTATTTTGTGATGGTATGTTAACAAAGTTTGGGCGCCTTGATCTTGCATAGGGCATTAAGGTTTTCCGGTAAGTCCCCCTTCTCTCACTTATTATTCTTCGTTCCGTAGGTCGTTGTGGTTGAATGGCAGTGAAGGATCAGTTCAAATGGCTGATTTACTGCTGTTGTTGATGATGGCTGACTAGAACCATTTGTTGTCGTCAGCATGATTTCAGTTTCCTGTTGAGTACACGATTTGAAGATCTTTTCAATTTGCCATCACAATTTTTCACGAGTTACCACACGTCAAACACGCACTTCCGGAAGATGAAAATGTAGAAGGTTCTAACTAATATTTTTGTTTTTTGGTACACCGAACTCTCACTCTCGTCGGTTAATATTCTGTTACGTTAAGGCGATCTGTACCATCTTGTAAGCTACAATTTTCTGCACCTGTACTGGAACCATGCGACGCTTTCCTGGCGCACGATACCAGCATTTATAAGAATACTCATGGTAACATTCAACAGTCAATAGCTCACCTTTTGTTTTTCAGCTCTAACTTACTGAATTCCCGTAATGCGTCCTCTCAAGGAAGATGAGCACAAAAAGGTTGTGGAAAAACTGCTGAAGTAGTAAGTCCCGTGTCTTCGAAAAACTCGTAAAGCATCAAGGATGTTTCTTTATTGTTAACTAGAGAGGATGGATCCTACAACTTATCGCTCCATCGCGATCGTGTTTTTTACGCAAGGTTAGTTACAAACTATCTTATCTCATTACACCAGGACGTCACTGATGAAACACGCGGCCACCATCAGCAGGAAACATCTACTCAGTTTCGGAACTTGCTTAGGACGATTTTCAAAATCTGGAGTGTTTAGACTTCACGTGACCGCTCTTGATTTTTTGGCGCCCTATGCTAAACACCGAGTATGGGTAAAGCCACCTGCAGAACAGCAGTTCTTGTACGGGCAACATGTTTTGAAATCTGGGTTGGCTCGTATATCAGAAGAAACCCCCCAGTATGCAGGCGTAATTGTTATGAACATGAACGACTTCCCCATAGTATCTGTCATTCCGCTAAGATTTGAATCACTTTAGGGTTTCGGAGTCGCTGCCAAGTCGACATTACAGGCAAAGAACACCGATCCAATGACAATTGTCGTGTTTCACCAAGCTGACGTTGGGGAATACATCCGAAACGAAGATGTGCTGATATAGAACATCTGCAGAATATATCTTATTTACTGTACAGTAGCAATCCGTCTTCTTGTTTGTGTCATTATTTGTAGCTAGTGGGGTGTTTAGGGACACGTAGTATAGTAAAAATATCAGCTTTTAATAACTCCTAATGCATAACGCCTGTTTGAGTTGCTTTTGCTGCTTCGCCCGCGATTAGAAGAATTCAAACATACAGTGTCATTGTGACCACACGCTAGGCCTTCCTGAATCAGCGTTGGTGTGAGTAGGCTGAAGCCATCTTACCAATGCACCGAGCGTTCAAGCATGGACACCAGCTCAGTTGTACCAGATTGGTTTATCATGATAGATGCAAATAAACCTGAGGCCGTAGTGAAAGCTGTTCCATGCGGGACCGAAACTCGGCTCAGTTGGTCTGAGAATCCAAAGCATTTTCACTTTTGCCCAAGGATGTAAAACATCTTGACTCTTGCATCACAAGTTACTGGTTAAATGACTCACATACAATAAGACAGCTCTTCAGTGGTGCCAAGGCTTGTGTGCTAACTTTATTGAGACAGACTGCTGTGTGGTACTTCGAAAATGCCTCCGAGGCCACTCAAACCAGACCACATAAGACCGCTCAATGTCTACTTTCTTGGATATTAGTAAGTGGACGGCAGTCGAGTTGGACATTAGTTGAGTGTTCCCGCGGCCAGTCGAGCTGGTTTTTATTATAGTCACTATTCCTAAGCCACCTCAGGTGCAGGTTTCGTCATGGACAACAGAAGTTCCTCTGCTTCGCTGACAGAAGGGGAGTAAGAACAGAATTGCATGGGATACCTAGTGTAAAATCTAGATACTTTAGGGAAGCACTCTAGATCGAGAAGTGGCTACCGTGAGGTTACACACAACCGATTTTATATGGGAAATAGGGCAGCACCAGAGAGTTAACTTACTTTTGGTTCTCACTGATCCACATGATCATCTATCTTACGCCGGGGTACTAATGCCTAACGACGGATAAGCTTCGATGTTATTGATACGAAAATTTGCGCATTCACCTATGCGGTTACTAGCAGTTCGCTTCCAAGAATTCTACACCGTTAGCCGTTTTGTCCCTGAGAGGTTCAAACAATCCAAATGTTTTTTTGTAAAGTATTCATCCCGATAGTTCACAAGCTACATAGCACAATCTAGTCCGGAAAAGCACCATTTGCGTTTCTCCCTACTGGGTCTCATCAGTGGTGCGCGTTCCCTCGGTCCTCTAATGAGGATCGAACCCATGACCGCTAGAGGCGGATACCAACTAGCCAGCAGCTTAAGCCACTGAGCCATGGGGACATTGGCTGGGCTATATAATTTTCAAACTAACTGGGATATAGCACCACCTATCTTCCAGTATCACTGACAGTGGCTAGCCTAAGAAGTGATGACGTCCTCTCACTAGACGCTATATTCATAGCATTTGAAACTAGATGAGGCTATTTATTTTTATATTACTAATAAGTGGCAGGATTTCAATTGTAATTTTTGTAAGGTATTCATCCCGATAATTCACCAGCTACCTAGCACAGTCTAGTTCGGAAAAGCACCAGTCGCGTTTCGCCCTATTGGGGCTCGTCAGTGGCGCGCGTTCCTTCAGTCCTCTAATGAGGATCGAACCCATTCTGAGACTGATGCTGCATTTATGATGTTTCTTCACTGCAGTTAGGCTAAACTAACTTACACTTAGTCTTTTTACGCTGGTAAATTTCATTCCACTTTATTTGGTTTGGTCTGCTTATCTGAATAATCTTCTCTTGCACACTTTGTTTACGCTAATTGTGTTTATCTTCGTTAACTTTATCTCGTTGTGGCACTTCTTGAATAACTTGTGGGCATTTTGTACTTATCGCGGATTCGTTGATAACCAACGTACCTCATATGCTAATTTATCGAACAGTTATGTCGGCATAGCCGTATGCTTTAACAGATATAATTTATTCGATAATGTTAATTTAAGTGATTGGATGTTGCTTGATATCCCCGATGTGGCTGCGCTTAATGTTCATGTTGACAAGGTTCCTACCTGTCTATTACCCACTACCTCGTCCATACTGGCTCCAGGAGACAGTTGGTCTTCGCTGGAGCGGACGGGGTGCACGGTCCTTGTGGCCGTGTTAGGCTCAAATAGTGGTTCCATGCACTCAGTGTAGAGCGGACTACGGTCCAGCCACCGCCTTGTGTGTGCTTGATTCCCAAATACAGCGTGTTTGTGTTTGCCTGTGAAGGAGTGTGGGCCGGCTCCGTTGATGAGACGTGGCTCCCATCCACATGCCTCCCGGTCTCATTCCTTCAGGTTTACACTGGATATGGGGTGTGTGAGTGGTGCAGCGCAAGCCACTCATGGTCCCTCTGTAGGTGCAGGCGTCCGGTGTCTGGCCACAGTGATAGTGCAGCCTGTTGACCTATTCGTGCGAACGTTGAATGCCACCAGGGCAACGGGACCGCGTGGTCTTATAAGAGACTGTTGGCCATTGGTGTCCAGTTGTTGATGATGGAAGACAGCTGCAGGTGGTAGAAGTGCAATGGCATTGCGACTGCTGTTCATTAGACTGGGAATTGCGAAAGGTTAGCAATCAAGGTAGGGAGGAGAGAAACTGAATGAAAAAAAGGAGGGAGGCACCAGCAGTAGCATGTTCTTGCTTATCCGCTGTGCTGTATGCAGCAGATAAGGCGACCCTTTTAAAGCTGCGCGACGGCCGATGGAGGATGTAGTTGAATTTCGAGGAACTTGTTGTGGTTGTGAGTAGTGAGATAATGCCAGGGTGCCGAAACTTAGACAGGAGAACGGTTAGCGTCCTCAACTAGTCTGGCTCAAAAAGCCTGTCCGCAGGGCGACAGAGTGACAACGATTCGGTTATAGAAAGAGGAACACCATCGCATTTCAAACTCCCAAGCTGGAGGATCAGGAAACTGAGTTTGTCTGACTTCTAACCATTGACCAATGTGGTGTGAGTAGTGCTCGAGATAAATGCTGAAAGGGATCATGGAAGAGAGGGATGCATAACGAATGGATTTTGACATCAGCTAATGTTTGCAGGTTGAATACTAACGGTAACTGTTGGACACCGCGGCGTGCTTTTACTCCTTCAGGATGTAAGCCAACTCTGCATGATTGTGCTGACACGGTCAATACTCACGATTACCGAAAAGCCGATTAACACCCTTCATATATCTGGGCAATCTCGCTGCTGACTTTGTACCTTGCGGGCGATTCTAAATCGTTCACCACCTATGCATCGGTGGGAGACACCAGTTACTCCACGAAGGATAGGCTACACATAGCTACTTGAATTCGGCAATCGACGTCTTAATTAGGAATTACACCTTACAAATTATAAATTCCCGCTATTATGGCTAGTGCTGCATCTGAAAACAGTGGATTTCGGTTCGCCTCGTCTCGATGTGTTCAGCTGTCAGACCGATCTTCCTGGGCGAACTCCCAAGGCGGCTGAGTGATGACAATGTATACCTCGAAAGTGATCACTCCAGTGGGTTTCTGTAATAACATCGCGTATGGGCCTCAAGTAGTACTGAATAGATTTGACAATTTTGAAGAGCCCGAGTGTGATAATCCTCAGGCCGCGCTCCGGATAAATTCTTCGGAGTGATTCCATCGTTTAGGATGTGCTTTGTACTTTCACGCTGTGAAGTCTAGTTCTAGAACCACCACTTGATAATCTCCCGAGTCATGACGACGAGTAACTGTAGATTGTTGGTCAATCGGCCTACCTTGACAGCTGCTTTAGCAACAATGAGCACATGTCTGCGGAAGTGTTCACGTATTGCGAAATGTAGAACGGCACTGGTCAGGGGGGATCATTTTGAAACAAACCTAATCTTTATCGGGATCGCAATTCTTTTTCGAAGTGAACCTCAGTCAGTTCGGTCGCTGGGACCGTATCTGAAACAGATAAACAGTAGGCGTTTGCCATTCACAACAATGCACTCTACGCCTGGTATCGTGCTCATTCGCATTCATCGGGGGAACGCGACTCGAACACGGCGGAACCTTCAGGGTTTCAGCCGTGACCTCTACCTATAAGCCACGGAGTGGAAGCTGGCAACGCTTACCACAACGGTTAGCGACCGTTGCAGATACGATCGCAGCGATGGAGTTGGTTGCGGGTCACTTCAAAAGTGAACTGCGATCCTGGTCGAAGTTGCATGTTGCAATCCGTCCGCACGATGTGTGCTTCAAAAGTGACCCCACCTAACCAGTCATTCACCGTTGTAACAGGCGTTGCTTACTGCGACTCGGTGGTTTAGGAATCGATGTTTGAACTGACATCCCAAGGGATAAAGTCAAGTTAGGCTTTATGAACCCGACTGGGAACATTTTCAGCATTTTACACTGGCACTGCGGATGTATCGAGACCTAACATTAGCATGAAATTGTAATAAAAGCGCAAAAAAGTGCATGCACATCACTCAAGCAAGCGTTCAAGCATGGTGCTGTTAAGTTTCCTGGAGTCCACAAGAAAACGAGATAATTACAGTAAGATAGAGTTGTGATAACATGTTCGTGAAAGCAGAGCCCTAAATTTAGAGCGGGTAGTCGAACAGGATAAGGCTTTAGATAAATCAGCGTGAAGGCGGTGAGAAGGGTCATTCAAAATATTTGCTGAAAAGTTGTCACATGCACTAAAGAGCTTAGTAATGATGAAATCAACCAGAGACTCTGAGCAATCCACAACACTTGGAAATGAGCTTAATGAAACGCACAATCGATGTGAAGTCTTTTTGTAGAAGACCAGGTAAATGACAGGTGAGCAGCAGGCAGTCACGAAATTGTAAAGTAAAGCACAGTGTACTGAAAGCATTTTGAGTCCCAGGGCATGAAATGATAATTTTCGCACTTTGCGGAACGTATGTTGACCCAGATAGATGGTAAGATAAATATACACCAAGGTACTTATCACTGGATGAACTGGGTATGTTGTGGTCGCTTACAACCATGGGGCGAGAGATGTCTGCTACAGTCATGTAGGTTAGTGCGGAGAAAAGAGCAAGTTACATTGCGATATTTGGAAGCGTCGAGAATAAGAGATCGGGACGACGACCACCGCTGAGGCTCGTCCTACCCGATTTGGAGGGTCGTTGATGATTCAGCAGTTGGAGCATGGCTGCCTAAGACTACGTCGTCAGTGTACTTACATCCAATGAAGTTGGGGCGGATTGGAAGCATTTTGATGTACAGAGAGAATAGGAGAGAGGATTGCTTCTTGTAAGACACCCCAGTCACCATTAGGAATGTGGGAATCTTTTTTACCGTCTTGCTGGTTAAAATGAGATCGGTTTACGTAGTTGCCCATCAGGTTACACACTGCTAACTGAACACCACTCGCAGACAACTGATTAAGCAATACTGACCTGTCGACACTTCCAAAAGCGTTGGTGTAATAAAGGAAGATGAGCCACACATTCTTGCATTTCGCACCCAGTAAAGATGGTATAGAGTGTACATGGTATGCTACGGCATCCAACGTGGAACGTCGTGGTCTGTGCACAAACTGAGATACATCCACGGCCAGAGTGCATGTTAAGATCCAAGGCGCTAGCAGTCACTCAGACTTTCAGCATGACATGTGCACGCGATGGGATGGAATTTCGCAGACCCTTTGTTTGGCACGGGTGTCATCCTGACAGACCTGCAAATACGGGGAATGATTCCGCCGTATAAGCACCGATTAAAAAGACCCGTCAAGAGCACAGTGAAGGTATTGGCACACTCATTCAAGACAACTGGTGAAAGAGCATCGGGCCCGCTAGCCTTTCTTGAATTCAGATTTCTGGGTTCGCGGTTGACTTCAACGTGTTGGAATGTAATTTTTAGACCAGAGCCGGAGAACAAAGGTAGTAAGAATGAAGGGGTGGAAAATGCTTCCTGTGAAAAAATAGAACTCAGAATTGAATTTCTCAACATCCAATCTGCTTATTCGAACTTTTACCGCATACCTGCTTCAAGTCTCCATAGATCTCGGTAATTGTGGCCGCATAAAACAGTTCCGATGTATAAACTATTCAGTCGTGAAAGCTATTCTTATTGCTAGAGACATTTGTCTTACACGAGCAGTCATTTCGCATTTGTAGGCCGTTCTATGTTCCTTCTAATTTTGAAGGGCATATTAGCCAATGGACCGGAGTGAGTTTTACGATACACGACGGGGCACACTTTATGATACAATGATCTGCGTCACCGAGTGGCGCACGTTTTTGTGCGGAGAACAGCCAGGCATGATTTGTGAAGACGAAATCTAGTTGCGCTTCATTGCTGGTCGGAAAGGCCACTGTTAATCAATTCAAGTGCCTGGATGAAGGAGGTGTCAAATTTTGTTGAAGTCCCCGGCGATGACACAGACTGGGCGGTCAAGTGTAGGCAGTAGCGCCGAGGATAGATCATCTGCAAAAGCTTTCAGTTCTGATGTTTTTTGTGTCGAGGGATACATATACGTTTCCAAGAATAACAGAAATAAAACCACTTGGCTTACGTTCAAGCAAATGGCAGCTGATTGCAACTGCTGAGTGGGTAAAAAATGTATAGATAACGAGTTACACCAGCGTTGATGGACGTAGATGATGACACTTCCTTCACGATCTTGAGGCATTCCGGGGCGGTTTAATCTGATGGGAAGATAACCAGCAAGTTGAACAACATTGTCTTCTATATCAGCATGTAACCAGCTTCTTTGAAGCAACAAAATGGCTGCATTCAGATATTCACTTCGCTGTATAAAAGCGGCAAGATCCGCCATTTTCCAAAGAGTGATCGAATATTGCTGGACGAGAGCAGTGAAATTGATGTCAACGGAGCGACGTCTAGGGTTTACTCGCCAGCTAGCACTGTTTTCTCAAGTTACAAGAATGCTTCCGCACAACGCGTTTAAAAGTATTTCGGACGTTGTGAGCATATTTAATAGTACGCGGATGTTGAGAGACTTCAAAATGATGACGAAATAGGACAACATCAAAAATAGTGCAAACAAACAAACAAACTGGCAAGCGTTTTAGGAGTTCGATAAATCCGAAGTAGTAAAAATGACTTCACAATGAGAAAAGCAACGGCTAATTTGAAGGCCCCGAGTTCAAGCCGCAGTCCTACTATCTCCTCTGTCTGATGGGTGCAAATGAGTACGAAATCAGTCGCTGTGTGTAGTGTGTTCGGACGGGCAAAACCCACTGTCTATCTAGAACCACAGTACTGAATTTGCGAACATTACCCTCGCCCTGAAAGGCTGTTGAACCACAGTGAGGATCGTACTACTCTGTGGAAGTGATAACCCTATCGGTCTTAGGATCTGAAACATCATTCGGTCCAGTCATCGTTGCCTGCGCAGCATTCTTAGTGTCAGATGGCATCCGCAACGATATATTGAGCAGGCCACTTTATAGGCGGTAATAATCAGGCTAGTTTCTTGCATCACGTGCTACTTAATTTCCTTCACTGTAAGGATTCTTATTCTACATATCCGATATGCGTAGCACAATGACCGAAAGGAGCAGAAATTGTCTGGGAACCAGGAGAATGAGTCACTGACGATTCAACTGGGTGCTGGTGATCCGTCTCGTCCCCAGGGTTACAGTCCATGCAACCTACCTAGTACTTGGCTCGAGTTTATAGAACTGCGCTGGTAATCAGCACAAGTGGCGCGTTTCGTATATTCTCACGTTCAGATCACCTGGCTGAATTGTGTCTAGCAGGTCTTTGTTGCTTACGACCCCAGACTTGCAAATCAATTACCTCGAGGATGCCGCTTCTTCAGATGATAAGCAACTGGGGTTGTATCTGTGCAGCGTTTGATTCCGGATGATTGTCTAGGATGCCTAAGTCTTTCCTTCCCTCCATTATAATAGTTCTCATTGACTAAGCTATCATTGTTGTGTAGTGACGAGGACATAAAGTAAACACTATACAAACGCGCGTACGCACTAAACATAGACCGGTAGGTTCGCAGAGTCGTATGCTCTTTGTAGCCCATGGTGATGTGATCAGTCTGGATCCGAGACATCGTTTCATTCGATGGGTATGATGTACTACACCGCATGCGCCGGAATTTAAGAAGACATGGTTGGGACGGGGACAATTTCTAGTTTATTGTGAGCGGTGCCCCTGATAGTTATGCGTTCACTTTGTTGTCTTACGCGATAAATAATGTCCTAAGATTCGAATTGTTAGACGCAGTTGATTCCAACGCTGTTAAACGAAAGTAACTACAACTTCCTGCCCCTAATTCAGCCTCCATTGTCTAAAAATTAGGTATTTGCGATACCTATTTTGTGTTACAACCGCTATCGCTGATTGACGCTCTTGGAGCGGCTGTCGAGAGCAACTACTATCCATGGCGATAAGGTCACATTCCTAAGTGCACTGTTGGACCGCACATCAACAGAAACATCGAGAAGCTATCGAAGTGATCGCAGAGTATATTGGAAGAGTAAAGGAAGCCTCCAGATTAGTTTTCGTCGCGGGGGGGGGGGGGAATGAATGCGTTCAATTGCGAGCTAATGTGTGTTCTGTGTTGACCAACACATTATCGAATAAGATGAACCGAAGTCGCTACAAGATTCCCTGTGATCATACGGCTAAGATTCAACGCTGGCGGAGCTACACCGAGTGCATGAAGCTGGAGAAGTGGAACAGCAAAATTCACATCGAGCGCTGCAGTGGACGTGCCTCTCGCCGAAACAAGCCGACTGCATCTGCCTATTGTGACTACATGCATGAGAAAGTAAATATCACCAATTTAGCAAAAAACGGTAAGTGTAATGAATATGAAAAGAATTTGTACAGCAGCCATAGAGGGAAATCGACGGATTATTTACATAGATACAATGAGAGCCCATTCACAAATGTATGATCTCCGAAGTTTTCAAAAGACAAAATCACCGTGACAACGGACACAAGACGATCTTTACTGCTGGATGAGACTCCCCGATGTGCTTGAATCCGTTTGTTGTTCCGACGCTTTGTCCTCACTGTTCATGTGTTCTACCTTGGTAACTGGGCCCGCGGGTGGGTACTGCTTATCTGAGGAGAATACTCGTGATGGAGTGCCATGGTAGACACATGGCACTGGTGTGAAATTCACAGAGACAGTTTCCGTCGCAACGGTATTATTCGGTAGGTGCAAAGCCGTATGGACCGGAGCCAAAGCGGCAGGAGGTCGTCCGACCAGCAAGGTAACGGCGTTGGGAGCACCAATAGGTACTATACTCGGAGTAACCGCAGTGATTTGTGGTAAACTGGAGAAAACCGCACCGCTCGACGATATGGGATAGTGGCAGACTTGTATCGTTGATGGAACAGTCATACTGGGATGACGCGGGATATTTGTGATTGAAACCGGAATAGATCCAACAGGGTGGGGCATCTAAGAATAACGGAAAGAGTTATCTGTCTACACACGTAGTATACTGCAATGGACACTGGGCATGTGCTGCTATACATGTATATGATTATATCAGAGGGCTCACATGGCAGACATGTGTGAAATTAAGAATGGAGCTCATTGTTACAAACACGAGAATCACCAAGCCATGAACAAGCATATGAAATAAGAGTGCTATCAGAATATGCTTTGAAGTTGCCAAAACATCTGACCTCCCGTATCCAACGATGCTAACTTCTCACCTTTCCAACAGGTCTTGTTTTTATGTTTTCTTCCACATGTCCCTCCAAATGCATAACGGCGAGATCTGCCGCACTTCGGTGCTCGGATCACGAATGGTTAGATGATTCAGCACATCAATGGACAGAGATTTGTCCACTAAGGCTGCTTGACCCGTCCCCGGCAGAACCTTATGTCACTGATGATGAATTCGTTTTCGTCGTTTAAAATCTATTTGTTATCGCTGAATGTTCAGCAATCGCCACTCTGGGGAGAGCAATTGTATAATTTTTGAGTGGATAGTGGGTGCACTCCCAGTGTTGCTAGGTGACTTACTCCACATGACCACTCAACAAACCCAAGCTGATGTGCATTATTTATATCACACCAAGGAATGCATGCTCTAAACACAACGATGTGCGCTGGATACTATCATCGTTACCATCATTACACACGTTAGCTAGAGGTGGAAAACATATCAGCTATTGTGCCACAATACATTAGAAAAGAAAAAAATGCAATGGCACGCCGGCTGAGTCACCCGTAACGGATGGACATCGTTCCGGAGAGCTAATAGTGGGCTTTTGTGCCGCAAAAAGAAGTACTATATCATACATATGAATTCACATCATAGTTGGAGGGGGAGGCTGGATAATATCGAAACAGCACAACAATGCGAATCATTCAAATTTTCGCTCAACAACTCACCTGATGCTCGTAGAAATTCTGAACAGTGTTCTGCCGCGAATCGACTGACTGCGCCCCTATGACTGACAGTTGAGTAGACACTGAGCAGTAAGTCTGTGGTTGCCCGGTTGGCTGGATGTGCATAGCCGTTAACGGTTGGTGAGAAGACAAGGCTATAGCGCCCGGAATTGCACTGCTTATTATGGCCGGTGGTGCTTGTTGCGTGGCAGCAGTTGGAGAAGAAACGTACGCGCCTCGAACAGGTGGGATGCTCGGCCGTTGCTGAGCAGCAGCAACAGCGGCCGCTGCTGCCGCGGCTGCTTGTGTAATGGAGAAGTGGTCGGAGGACCGGGGAGCCTCGGTGGTGGAGGGTAGATGGCCTGATGAGAGTGGATGCGCCCCGGGTTTGGCCAACCGGGATTTGCTATGGGCTTCGATTATTTTGGTAGCAGACTCGGCCATTCGCGCGACCGCGGAAGCCCGTTTGCTTGAATGCCGAAGGCGAGCATTCTGTTCCAGCAAAATTTCGTTTGCAGCTCGTAAGTCCCCACGTTGCCTCAACAACTCAAACAGTTTTCGCCGCAAACGCGAATTTTCAGCTTTCAGCGCTCGCTGCTTTTGTACAGATGTAGACGAGTAAGATGAATTGGATGAGATCGTGGCACCTGTTGATTTGGACAATTTCGTTCGCGCAGGCTGAGATGTCACCGATCGTTGCAAGGAAGATTTGCGAGCTCTCAATTCGAAGATATCCTCGTCCTCAGTATCCATGTACTCGACTTCATCCATACCACATTGATAGTAATCTTCCGTTAGAATGGAGTCAGGTGATGCAATAGCCTGAGGCCTGTCTCTCATTCGTCGTCTGACAGGTGGGTTAGCTCCAGAGTTCAGACGCCGTGACAGCGCATTTGACTTGGTTTTTGAGAGGCGGTGAGACTTAGATGAACTAACAGAGGTACGTGGGCATCTTGGTGCGTTCTTGAGGTTCGCACAGTCATGCAAATTAGACAGGTAGTTGCGTGACTTCGGTTCGGAAATATGCACACCTTGTGAAGGCACAACGCAGAGCTGTTCGTCTACAGTAACAGCAATTTGAGGATTTGTAGGCGATCCGGAACTAAGAGGCTTCGATGGAGTGGATACTGTTTCCATTACAAACCCGGGAGTAGAGTTAGGTCGAATGGGACCGAGCTTCTTCAATACACTGGTGCTGAGAGCCGTCATGGACCGTGATCTCCTCAAAGAGCCAGCTGGCGACCGCGAAGGGAAGATCTGCACTGAGTCACTAACCAATCTCGCAAAGCTGGTGGCATGCCGCCTGGGACATAACTGGCGAGATGGTAAACGAGTGTCTCTAGAAGAATCGCAACCGCTACCACCTAATTCAACAGCAACCGAATCGTTTCTGCCTGCTCGACTAAGCGATGGTAGCTGTGAAGTTTCAATCTGACGGTCACTGGAGTGACGATTGAAGTTTGAACGGTGCGTGATAAGTGCTGCGTCCCTACATTCGACATGCGGAGACAATTCGTGGTCAAACGACTCCGACGGACTGGTATCAGACGCCGTTCTCGATTCATCCGTGGGACTAACAAATACCGCATCCAATCGGTCGGAAAGCTTGCACAGTTTGCGAGGACAATCATGCAAGGAACTGTGTCCAGACGGAAAGATGGGCATTGCATTGTCTGGGTCATCCTCAGATACATCTGGATCCTCATCGTCTTCCTCATCCTCTAGAGCCCCAACGCAACTGGTGTCCCGCAGTCGTTGGAAATACCCAAAACAGGGACGAGATCTCGGTCTTCGATTCGACTCCAAAAATACATCGGCTCCATGTGTAACGGGAAACCTATAATTCTCTGCATTGTATGAATTCTTCTGACAGTCCGCGTTCTTCGGTTGGCGAGGAGAGGCGTTCATGGAGTCTTCGGAGAATGTAGAGTGTTGCATCTGCAAATGCCCGAGAAGAAAATAACGGAAACCACCTCATTTGTGCAGTATGAACATCGACAAATAAACATTCATCGGTAGCTCCTAGAAGGCGATACGTGGCGAAATCACTATTATAATGATTGGTAGCAATCGGTGTCTAGGCTAGCGTGTCACAGTAAGCAATCGGTAACAAGAAGATTGCACTGCAGCACCACAAATGAATTTACGGACCGGACGTACAGCGCATAAACTGTAGAGCTGGAGACCCCTTTGATCACCAACCTAGACGGCTAAGCGAGTCAACTAGTTATTTAACGTATATGAGAGCTTGGTAAGCAAGGAAACTATGGGTATGCAGCTCAATTCAGTTAAACAATCATAACTCCAGCGTTGAAGTGCGGTGGCGCCGGTTCCCACGACTCGCTTCGCAAGGATAACAAAAAATAACTTCGGTGGAACACAAATGGAATGCGAAGAGAAAGATAGTAACTTTAAACGGGATGGCATATAAACCTCTAAATGGAAGCAACAGAATACACGACTCCGACATGTCCAACAGGGTCTCCAATCACTGAGGTGGCCAATTTGGGGGCTCCCGTCCACAAAGGTGGGACGTATCATTCGGATCAAGCCTCTCAGTCAGTTGTCCCATATCTCCACGTCACCTAAGGCTTCGTCCAACCTAGTATAGCGATAGCACATAGTACACGCCGAAAAAGAGTCAGCAAGTGTACGGGGATGATATACACAATGCTAAATTTGAACTGGCGGATCTCAGCACCGCTTGCCCAATGTCCCCACAAAATATAAAAAAATACGTCAAGATTCTTGTGGTTTATCAAAATCTGGATTCACCGGGGGAGACTTCAGCTTATCATTTAGGTGAATAAAATGTTACCGTGCGACTAGTCATCGTCATTATCATTATTATACGTTCGCTGAAGATGAGAAACTTATCCCGCAATACACAAAGATATAAGAGAAAGCAATGGACCAAACATTATGGAATGCGACCAGTGATACTTTATGGAACAAATCTGTTTAGTGCGTGTTTACGGCATGACCACTGGTGTTAGTGGAGCGGTACTGAGCGGTCTGAACGCAGCGCTAACTGAGCGATGGCGATCGCAATTTGAGGGTTCGCACATCACTAGACCGACTGTTGAAATCATACCGCTTTCGTTCCACTCAGTTCTGTCAACCAACTACCTCGACGTGTCCTGATCGCCATTACCTCGACTGTTTGGTGATGCTTCCATCGACTGCTTGTGAATAGCTATGAACAAGCTAGCTGACTGGCAGGAGGGAGAATGACTCAGTCACGGATGCTCCGCGATCAGGCCACATCCATCTATGTATACAGTATCCGACGTGAAGCGGCTGCGAAGACAATAGCACTTTTGCAGTCTCTCAATTCTTGTTGTGAAACGCTTTTCCGACTATCGTGTCCGTGCTCATCTCATCTACATTGCGTCTACACTTTTGTAAGCTTGTTGTTTATTCCTTTTACAATCATGGTGACTTGTGATGTCCACTAGATCCATGACAGCTCGATGCTCAGTGCTAAGTTAAATCAATTCAATAGGTTGAAATGGAATGAGTTCAGACACACATACAACCAACATTTGGTGATCACTCCCAACAGATACTTGAAACCACCTAACTTGTCAAAACGACTGATGTCCGGTAAAAATAAAAGCCTGACAAGCAGGAACCTTGACGAAAATGAGAAAAGATAGATGACGTCAAAATTTGTAGAAGTAATAGCACGTAATAAACACAGTAATCGGTTGGCAGCTGCTGCCGAGGAGGCCATCGGGCGCACAAACTGTAAGCGGCCCATTTGGTTTGATGAAAACAATGCACCAATTAGCATACCAATGTCGGAGAAGAATGCAGCATTTGCTGCACATGTGGCAGATCTCCGTGACTTGGGGAAGAGCAGTCAGTTTCACAAACTTCGACGGCGACTGACCCGAGAGCTCCGTCGCATAAAAAATCCATGGTGGACGGAGAAGACGAATGAGATGGAATGCTAAGCCGAACGCTTCCAACACAAGGAATTCTTTGACTCCCTGAAGGTGGTGTATGAACCGAGATTGGAGCCGCTGAGGACGCTAATCTATGGTCGTTCGGGCGCTGCCTGCACTTAGACTGCAAACATAATGCAGATCTGGCAAAAACACTTCGACTGTCTCTTGAACAACCGTTCAGAGAATGACCGGTCTACACTGAACGGCCTGAAGCAGCACGATGTGAAGATGAGTCTGGTGGACACGCAGACAGTGGAGAAGACGCAGAGAGCACTTGCTCAGCTGCGAACCGGGAAGTGCGCCGGTGCTGACGAGATCTCGCCTGACAAATTGAAACACGACGGACCCGCGTTGGTGACTGCGATGCACCACTTGGTGCAACGCGTGTGGATTGTGGAGGAGTTGTCTCCTGAGCTGAAGGATGCCCTTGTGCTACCACTGTACAAGGGCAAAGGGAGCAAGCAATGTTGCACTAATTATCGTGGCATCAACTTGTGTGGGCAAGGTGATCGCCCCAATCCTACTCAACCGCCTGGTCAGTCACGTTGTGGAACCGAACGTGGCGGAAGAGCAATTTGGATTCCGTTTGGGTCGCAACACCATCGATGTGATGTTTGCGGCTCGTCAGTTGCAGGAGAAGTGCAGAGAACGACACCAGCCGTTGTACTCGCTTCTTGTTGATTTGATACGGTAAACCGCGAGGCATTGTGGCTGGTGTTGGGTAATTTCGTTAAGGCAGAGAGAAGACAGAGGTTGCGATATGTCAACATTTCGACTGTTCTCATCAGTCAAAACACAATACGTTCAGAAACACATAAGAACAATCGAAATGTTGACATATCGCAACCTCTGTCTTCTCTCTGCCTTAACGAAATGGCTGAAGGGGATCCACTGTTTTACTTGGTGTTGGGTAAGTTTGGTTGCCCGCGTAAGTTTGTACGTTTAATTGAATGTCTGCATAGTAGTATGCGAGCGAGGGTGTAGCTGAATGGACAGACCTCGGATGACTTTGCAGTTATCTCTGGCGTGAAGCAAAGCTGTGTCTTAGCTCCTGCCCTATTTAATATATATCTTCACGCAATGATGTTTTGTGCTTTGATGCCGCTTGTTCTTACGGTGTTCGTGTGGAGCACAGTTCTGATGGTGGGTTGCTGAACATCCGTCGTTTCGGTGCGAGAACCTTAGTCCGTGAGACAACTAACCGTAGGTTGTTGTTCGCTGACGACTGTCCGTTGTTTGCACACAGCACGGATGAGTTGCAGAACATGACTAGTGCTCTGGCTTCGACAACGGCCGAATTCGGGCTCACCATGTCCTCTGCACGACAGTAACGTGTAAGTCAGTGGATAGTGAGCAGCGCTATATCGCATCTAGTAACTTATTCACGATGGTCGTTGCCGTTCCCTCTAGCCCAGTGGTCTCAATCACGGACTGGCAACAGCCGAGTTGCGGGTTCGAGCCCTACCCGGGTCTGATGGAATGCGCAGTGCTGACAATTCCCGAAAGAATGAAACGCGCGTACAGTGTTTTCCTGGTGTGTGACGGCTGTCTGATGAGTGTAGATGTGACGAATTGATACCTATATAAGCAAAACTGTTTGTCTCTGACAACAACCACTGGGGGGCAACCTACAATGGTACCGCGCATCACCAATGGTGATGACGTATTGGAAACCACCTAACGCCTCTGCTACCTTAGGAGTATGGTTTCGACTGACCTGCAGATATGCAGTGAGCTTCGTATCCACGTTTCGAAGGCAGTGGCGGCATTCGGGAAGCTTAAGTACCGAGTGTGGAACAACCATCAACTTAGCATTGGCACGAAGCTGATGGTGTACAAATACATGGTGCTGTCCGTTCTTCTATACGGCAATGGAACGTGGACGATGTACCGGCTGGATGTGGGAAATCTCAAGCGGTTCCATAGACAGTGTCTGCGACGAATTCTGTACATTGATTGGTGCGACAGAATTGCAAACACGGACGTGTTACGCCGAAGTGGCATGTATGCAGTGGACTACATACTTTTGTTGAGACAATTGAGGTGACTTGGTTATGTGTCGCATATGGATTCGACGCGGAAACAGAAGCAGCTACAATATAGTCAGCTGAATGTGGGGAAGCGTCATATGGGGAAAACGAAGCTTGGTTACCAGGACATGATCAAAGTGAGCCTCTCATGTTCCAATGTTGAGTACAGGTCATGGAAATTGAAGGCGGTTAATTGGCGTGAATGGCGCGATCTAATCACGAAGGCAGTTGCCGAGGTGCAAGGGAAATCCTTCGTGCATGTAGAGAAGAAGCGGTAGTTGCGGAAGCGACAGGCGCCGATGGGTTGTACTCCATCGACGTTGAGCGCATGGTGCTGTAGCACATGCGGTCGCGAGTGCCTGAGTCAGGTAGACCTAGTGAGCCACGAGCGAGGTCACTCGGGACCAGGAGCAAAACGACGACGGGTCCTGCTGAGACCGAAAGCAGAACCGACGCAGCGTTGATAGGTACGCTACATTCGATTTACTAACCACGTGCTGGCGTGATGAGTTTCTTTATTGCAGGTGGTGGGTTTGCCATTGTGTCTCAACGCATACATTTTTCCTTAAGTTTTTCCTGAACTTCCTTACGTTGCTTAAGCTAATTGTGATTATGTACGCTGAAATTTCCGCGTTTGTGGCATTTTCTTAAAATATATTTGCTAACCGCTTGCACTTATCGCGGATTTGTTGCTAACGGATTTATTACATATGATCATTTAGCGTAGATTTATGTCAGCATTTCCGTAAGTTTTATTTGATACATATTATTGGTTATTTTCATTTTAAGTGATTGGCTGTTGTTCGAGAACCGCGAAGTGTCTGCGCTTGATGTGCATATTGACAAGGTGCCTACCAGTCTATTAACCATTACCTCGTCTACACTGGCTCCAGGAGACAGTTGGTCGTTGCTCGAAGTGGTTCCATGCACTCAGTGTGGACTACGGTCCAGCCAC